ATTTTTATTGCATGTAATTCAACTACAAATACATGTACTGAAGACTTTTTCATGGAGAAAAAATCGGATGAATGCAATACTTGAATAGTGTTGAGCAGTTAAAATAATAACATTTCTGAGTGATACAGTACATTGTATGATACATAGTTCTGAGTGATACATGTTACATCAAAGCTTTACATATTGTTACAGGACCGTCACATGAATCTACGTGAATGACAATATGAAACGATTATTGTGTCCGTCGGTAATTAACGAACTATAGCGGCTGTTTAATCTGCTGTCGGCACTCGTGTAAAACACTATTTTTACTTTTATATATGAATCTAAGGTATATATGTTGACTCTAAAAAGCTCAAACTACTCGTCACAGATTGCCCTTGAAGAAAACATGTCCTTGAAATGTCATTGAAAAAATAATTAACACTTTTGTGGGAACCATGCAAACGTCTCCTGAGACATGTCTCATAATGACACCTGAGACATGTCTCATAACACCTGAGACATGCCTCATAACACCTAAGACATGTCTCATAACACCTGAGACACGCCTCATAACATCTGAAACATGTCTCATAACACCTGAGACATGTCTCACAACACCTGAGACATGTCTCATAACACCTGAGACATGTCTCACAACACCTGAGACATGTCTCACAACACCTGAGACAAGTCTCATAACACCTGAGACATGTCTCATAACACCTGAGACACGTCTCACAACACCTGAGACATGTCTCACAACACCTGAGACATGCCTCATAACACCTGAGACATGTCTCATAACACCTGAGACATGTTTCATAACCTGAGACATGCCTCATAACACCTGAGACATGTCTCATAACACCTGAGACATGTCTCATAATGTCACCTGAGACACGATGTCTCGGTCTCATGTCGACTCGTCCTCCTTCATGCGTTCGATGAGACGCCTCCGCTCCTCCTGCTGCCTCGCCCGCCTCAACACAAGATTCTCTCCATCCCGCGGCGCCTCGCTGGCGCCACCTGCAGGCGGACCGTCCGCCCGCTTCATTATTAGCTCCTGATATTATTAATATTATTGAATATTAATAATATTAGCATCATGCAATATTTTTAATTTAGGGTAAACCAGTTTTTAAAGTCACACAGACACACATACGCACACATTAACGGATGCTCACACGCGGGTGTGGTCGCACGCACGAGTGCGCGTGTATTATAGGCGTAAATTCACATTTTGTGCCTCGAGGGGGGGTGGAAAAGTTTCAGCTGAAATACGGTCATTTGGCTGGCAAACTTTTCACCGTGTTCTTAACGCCGTGGGCGATACCATCTGCGAGAGGGGAGTAAGGAATAAGTGATTACTTTTATTCACTGTTAATGTTACTGCCTGACACAGCAGATGAAGGGTTAGCATAAAGAACCAACATTTGTTTATTATTATTATTATTATTATTAAATTTTTATTGCATGTAATTCAACTACAAATACATGTACTGAAGACTTTTTCATGGAGAAAAAATCGGATGAATGCAATACTTGAATAGTGTTTTCGCAGTTAAAATAATAACATTTCTGATTGATACAGTACATTGTGTGATACATAGTTCTGAGTGATACATGTTACATCAAAGCTTTACATATTGTCACAGGACTGTGACATGAATCGACGTGAATGACAATATGAAACGATTATTGTGTACGGCGGTAATCGGCAAGCTATAGCGGCTGTTTAATCTGCTGTCGGCACTCGTGTAAAACACTATTTTTACTTTTATATATGAATCTAAAGGATATATGATGACTCTAAAAAGCTCAAACTACTCCTCACAGATTGCCCTTGAAAAAAACATGTCCTTGAAAAAATAATTAACACTTTTGTGGGAACCATGTGAAACCTCCTGAAACATGTCTCATAACACCTGAGACATGTCTCACAACACCTGAGACATGTCTCATAACACCTGAGACATGTCTCATAGCACCTGAGACATGCGTCATAACACCTGAGACATGCCTCATAACACCTGAGACATGTCTCACAACACCTGAGACAAGTCTCATAACACCTGAGACATGTCTCATAACACCTGAGACACGATGTCTCACAACACCTGAGACATGTCTCACAACACCTGAGACATGCCTCATAACACCTGAGACATGCCTCATAACACCTGAGACATGTCTCATAGCACCTGAGACATGCGTCATAACACCTGAGACATGCCTCACAACACCTGAGACATGTCTCACAACACCTGAGACATGTCTCATAACACCTGAGACATGCCTCACAACACCTAAAACATGTCTCA